TTTATGATACTGAGGAAAACCAAAGAACTGATAAGCATCATGTTCAGTTGATGTATTGGAATATAAAAACACTGTAATTCTCACAACAAAGTATATTTCGTGGTTGATGAAAAATTAACATTTATTCTGAGACAAAATCCTGTAATTTATGTGGACAGACAGGAGTGTCATAACCCAAGCCTATGGAATCATCATGAGTCATAAATGAACACCAGCAAGACTGAAATTAAACTGATCCATCCAACTAAACAAGTTTCACAGAAAATATTCTCTGATTTTCAATTAACTTACGCTGACAAATGCATGGAACCTAACCAAACAAACAACTGTCATAAGCACTTGAACCACCCCATCTCACATCAAATCAGTATCAAATTAAAGAACAATATTACAGAAAATCAATAATATTCCTTCCAAACGAATTTATATTATGTTTGCAATTAAAACTCTGTTCCGCTAGACGAGTTTGTTAAGAATGCTCCCTACTTATGCTTTTCCACCCCACAATGTTCCTTTCAGTTGTGAATCCCTTGAGAAAGAAACCAATTTTCAAAATTTCTTCTAGGAAGGTTTATTTTGCTAATGGCAGCAAGAATCAATTACATTTTGCTTTGCTGCATAAATGAGACAAGATTGAATTCCTCCACAATTATATTTGCTTTCCTCATTTACTCGGGTAATTCTGGTGTAGCAGATGCTGCTAAAGAAACCTACTTCTTCTCATTTTCAATCTCATACATAAAAATACAATTATCCTGCAATCATCTAGCAGCAAAGTAAACAAGAGACTTCAACAGCAAGAAACCACCCTTTTCTGTTATTCACAAACCAGTGCTGCTACATCTGCAATAAAAACATCCCCCAATCTAGTTAAAATATAGACTGTTCATTAAAATCAAGTTTCACATTAACTGGCAGAGTACAAATTTTAGTTCCTTCACAAACCAAAGTGAGCCGGCATAGCTCAGTCAGTATAATGACTCGACAAACGGGGTTCGTTCCCCGACGAGGGCAAAGGATTTTTCCTCTAGCCTCTGCGTCCAGACTGGTTCTGGGGCCCACCAAGCCTCCTGTCCAATGGGTCCTTTCCCAGAGGTGGCCAGGGCATGACGCTGACCACTCACCCCCATCTAGTGCCGAGGTCAAGAATGGATAGGACCTATACATCCCCTCCCCTCCCCCAAGTGCCTACATGGCATATAGTGGGACAGCTTTACTTTACTTTACCTTACAAAAACTAAAACCTGCATTAACATAATTTGGTGGAATCACCAGCATCTTTATAAGGACTTGGAACTAATACAATTGGTCCTGAGGCTAAGATAATGACAAAATTAGGTGTACCTATACCTGAGGCCCAGGTTTATATTATAAACAGATAATAATTCTGTCTTGCTAAAATAATTCAGATCCAGTGGAAGGCTCTTAAAGCACAGGAATTAACCTCCAGGATCCATAAAATTTCTTGACTAGTTAAGTTATTATTAGTGGGGGGGGAGGGAGTTTATATATGCCAAATGTCACTGAACAGTACTGTTACCACGTTTCGCAGCCATACAATGCAACAGGCAAGCTAATTAAAGTGTGTACTCGAAAGCAGACGATATAACAGCAGTTTTGAAATCAATAACAAGCACTTCCTGAATTCTTCACTTCCAATTTTACCTCTCTTTCTTTCTCTACTCTACTGCGTAAATGACGTATAAATAACTCAGTTCACGCATTTCAGTCTGATTGTACATACTTCGCTGCACCTGCAAAAATCAGCAGCTGACACCAAAGTAGAAGTGTTGACTAACAAATGAACTGGTTCCATCATTTGGAGAGAATGGGAGAAAGAACAGCATATCCATAAGGAGAAAAGGAAAAGGTTACCACATAAAAGAAGGTAACACCAATTCTGAACACAGTTGCAACTTTCTAATACAACTAACCCATGAAGAGACGATGACGCTGGTATATTAATTATAAACATTTTAACCAGTCCCATAAAAATCAGAAGAAATATATACAAACAAACTTGAGAAAGCCCATTAGGCTGACCAAATATTAACAGTAAATTCAGCTAACTAATAAATCCATCACCTTTTATGTAACCTTCAGGTTCATTACTATATTCACAACTAACTCCATGGAGCACAGTCCATCATCAGAAGCTGACAGTCACTCAGCTAGCCAATTCCCTGCATTTTATGTATCTAACAGGATCAGTATCATGTTCACAAGACCCTGCCTATGGTACCTATCCTGAACCACAACAATCCAGTCCGCAATATTGCTTTCAGGTCCATTTTAATGTTATCACTAATTTAATTGCTGTTGTATCATCTGCTTTCTAGTATATTAATTATTAAGATGAATGAAACAATTTTAATTAGCTTGCTTGTTGCATTGTATGGCTGTGAAACATGGTAAGAATAATGTTCAGTAATATGTGGCATATATACACCCCCAAATTTAGCCCAATAATTTCATGTTCTCCCAAAAAATTTTCCAAAGCATCAATGATGTCCACGTTATCATCCTAGGTTTCTAAAGCCATAAATATATTTGAAATTTTAACCTCATATTGTTCCACAACCTCTGTGCTGTATAGTGCCCTCAAATTAAAAATCTCCATATCAAACATTTGTGTTGCTTATTTACTTAACATTCTCTCCCATTCTTGGAACCACCAAATAGTGGTCAGCATCGCTCACTTTCTCTAAAAGACCAGACGTCAAGTGTACTTGACTGTCATTTTCTGCCAAGATGTGATTAATTTGATTGCATGTCCTCTTTTCATTAGAAGTACATGTGTATTAATGAATTCTGTTATGTGAGAACAATGTATTCTTGATTATAAGGCCTTCTGATATGACCAGGTGTATTATCCTCACTCCACTATCATCACTGGTTTAATGACAAATCTTCTTTGAAACTGTCAGTTTGAAAGCATCTTCTCTCCTGCGTTTTCAGTGCTAACTCTTAAAGAAATGTTTCTGTGGTTCTTAGGGAAATACTTTGGAAGCAGAAATGACATACCACAAATTCGAATTTCCATTGTATTCAACCTGTATTAAAATAACCAAACTGGATTATAATTTTTGAGAATAAAGCCTCCTACTCACTAAATATCTATATTTCGTTATCTCATCAACTTACATTCCCAAGCCTATTAAACACTACCCCAAATTGTCCATACAGTACCCCAGAACTTGCCTGGAGAATCTGCAAGCCCTTCCATGATTTAACATCCCTATAACTGGAATAATTAAAAAGAACCAACACAAATTCATCATTTATAAACACCTTAACACATTTCATTCAATTCTACATCACCTTGCACTAAAGTGCCATAAAATAACTGCCACATATCCAACAAAAACATAACTGGCAACCAAAATATTCTTTCTTTCTCTTTTATCCTCTTTTTACACGTAGGTATTGAGGCTTTATTTTATTAATTTTTTGATCTATTTGGACAGTGGTAGGACTCCTTGGATGAGTGATCAGCCCAACGCAAGGCCTCTACCTATACACACATAGAAAGACGCGGACAAACATCCACGCCTTGAGTGGGACTCGAACCCACGGCCCCAGCATCCAGGCGCATGAGGTCCATGCCTCAGACTGCACGGCGTAACCAAAATATCCCACCGTATATCACCTTGACTTTTTCGTGCACCTGCTAATTACAGTATAAATCTGTTATAACGAGAGTTCACAATGCTTGTAAAAAATGTCATAACAAATATTATTTGTTATTGCCAAATCAACATCTGGAAAAGTAAAATTGCACCAGGATCAAACAGCAAATAATTATTTTTAATGTTAGTGTGAAGTTTGGAATAAATATGGTGTCTACATATTACAGCACGCTACATGCTCCACATTTCATCCTCCTTGCTTTGATCACCATAATTATTTAAGATTTGAAGCATACACAGCAATTAAATGAAACAGATTGGTTGGTGAAAAACCCCCCATCAAGATCCACCTGTAATCTAACAACTTCAACTGAATACATTTCTATAGGCCTAAGAAAACGATATGAAATTAAAATGAATATCAGTAATACACACATTGTCCTCAGCTTATAGTGATTGGTGAATGTAAATTTGAAAATTGATATGGTAATAGTAGGAAGGATGCAGGAGATGACGCATCTTCATCATCTGACACTTCAACGAATCTTATTCGTTTTGGTGATGGTTCGGAAGCCATAGACATGCCTTGTTCACGAAGTTTAATCATCTCTAACTTGGCATTTAAAGTAAGAGGCTTACGACTCCTCTCTTTATCGCTAATACCCTTAGACGCCATTGTAATTACACTGTAGTAACACAAAAATATTATATAAATATACAGTTTGTAATAACTGAAAAATTGCCAGAAATACAGAGAGACGCGGAGCGCACAAAAGCCGTAAACAGACTGAATCAGCGACGAGAAAATGGCGCCGGACGCACTTCTCTGACTCAGCTGTTGAGCGCCGTATTAGCAGATCGCCATAAAGCGGAGCACCGAAAAGCGGGGCCCTACTGTAAATAGCATTCACTAAAAGTTAGTCCTGGAATCCAGCTACTGGCATACTGCAGTGAATCTCAACCATCAATAAACTACCACTAGGATTCACAGAAAAAGTGTCAGTGCTTGCTAGCATCCCAGATTTTCCAGGTGAGAAGAAAATGACTGGCCCTAGGGAGGATAAGTGAATGCCATACTCCTTCTGCTGTTCCTCTGTTAGTCTGCTTTCAAACAAGGACTCAGGCTCTGAGAGCAAAGCACAGAATAACAGCTGTGTCATTCCCCCCATAAATCCTGATGGTGGAGGCACAGACAGTCTCTGAAATGCTAGACATTAATTCCTTACGGACGTGGCTGATTGCCCAAGAAAACTTCTTGGCATCTTAATAACATAAGGTGAAGAGTAAAAATTATAAAGCTTATAATCAGTGCCACAGCATAAGTCCAATAAAGTATGAAAACAATTTAATTAGTAAATGAGTACTACTTACAACACTGAAGTCTCCAGCAGAAGGTTCAGATTTTAAATCTTCTGCAACAAAGAAAATAATTACAGCATTAATAACAAGAATTGTTATCCTCCACTTTCATATTGATGGAGAATGGCTTCGTTCACAAGAATTTAACAATACTAGCAGCACTCACCACTTGGTGTGAAAGTTTGTTCCACAGCTTTAATTAGAGCTGTGTACAACAACGACTGCAGGTCAGCACCAGTGAAACCTTCAGTGTTGTCAGCAATCTCTTTAAGATCAATATCGTCTGACAGAACAAGCTTGCGGCCGAGTGCTTGCAAGATTGACAAACGATCATCCTGCAACAGAATACTACCATTAATTCATGCTATCCTAGAAAACACAAACCCCCATTCAGTCCTGGAATAATTATTGATGACAATCATCATCTAATAACTGAACAAGGAAGAAAAAAAAATGATTAGCTTTTCCCTCCTCTGGGACTTCATCAAATTGAGACATAGTCAATCGCCATAGACACCAAATGTCTTTAACACCCAAATTCAACATTACAGCACGAAAAGATATCATCTATGATTTTGTTTAGTACAAAAAACATTGCTATTTCAGACCCTATCCATCCACAATCTGGTCAGTCCTAACATGGCTGGTACTGTGAGGTCACACAGATTCAGATGCTTGTTGACATCTGTACAACAAAGATTTCATCCTGAAATTATTACTTCTTCATGCCATAAAAATGTTTGAAGTGTAAAATGTGGCATTAATAAAAGTGCAGTGGAAAAAAATCACAGAAAGTGACTCAAAATGACTGTTAATTGTCCAAGTATGATAGTTTTAATTATATGTTACAATTATTCTACTTTAAATTTTAGAACACTTTATTCCAGACGACGACATCTCAATGCGTTATTTCTTATTAATGTATTTAAGGGCAAAATAAACTGCCATTCCATTATGGACACTGTTGGTTTACGTGTGCCGGCGAGGCAAATAAGAGAATTTTCTACTTTTAGTGTGAGCAGTGCACTACGACATAGTCCTTCAGCCAGGTGCGTCATCGCTGCAAATGACGTCTGTAAATCTTTGGACGTATTTAGCATAAACATTGTCTCCCTTGAGCGAACGTTCTCAACAAGGGAAATGATCTAGCTTGGTTATCTGTCTTTTTATATTTTTTAAAGTTTTACAATTATATTAGTGTTCCCTTGGTGGATTATTTGTTTTTATTTATATTTCTTCATTTTTTGCTCTGTGTTAATATTGTTTCTATTTTGGGTTTGCCTGTACTTGGCAGTTATATTTAATACTGTACATGTATAAGTTTAGTTAATCCGTTTGTGTAATATTATCCATTATTATTTCACTATTATTGTATATATTATCAGTGTTTGCCTGTTATTGGCATCTTGCTGTTGGCAAACACGTAAATAAATTAATTGAATTGAATTTTTCAATTATCATTTCACTAATCCAGATTTCTGCCTTATCTAGACCACCTTCTTCCTGTAAATGTGGTTTTGATGGACAGTGAGGAGATATAATTTGGCTTCAATAACACACTGTAAAACAAGTAGGTAGGACTGAAACCCCATATAATAAATGGCTTCGATAATAAATCATATTCTACTTTAGTATAAAAGCAATCAGTTACCATACAGTAGTGCTAACTTACAAGCGCACAAATATTTTTACTACTTTCATTAACTACAAACCTTGCTTCTATCACAGTTCTCTTACAGATTTTGAGTTGAAAACTATTTTTCAAAGCAAAAACTACAATATATGCATATGGTTCTTTATTTGCATTAGAGTGTATTATTCATGCTTAATTTTGAAAGTGAAGAGATTTTGTGCTCAGTATATTTATTAATATTATGTGATAAATCAACTAGTATAAGAGATTCAGTGCACAGCAAAGTTGTGTTGCAGCTGTCTAATACACAATTTAATTTTCTTTAAGTATGAGTAAATTATCTCTCTTAACTTTATAGATGTTTGCCTTTTATTTACTAAATCTCACTGCCCAAGTGAATTTATTAATTTCCTAAACATTTAAACAACTGTTCTATTTTTCTGTTCTTTGACACAAACTTGCATCTTACTCTAATTTAAATGCCAATCATTCTTTTTATTAACAGAAATTTTCGCATTAGACTTCCATTTTTCATTTTAGTAAATTAATATTTTGTTCTAAATCATTACCTGTTCATACAAATAATATAGAAACGTTGGTTAACATCGACCAGACTACACAGCGCAATAACCCAGAAGACAGAAATCTTCATATTCACCGCTGTGAGAACCTCAAGTCTTACATAGTAAACCTCTATGGGGAGGATACTCATCGCTTCATCCGGAGATTCGAGGCTCTTCGGATCAAGAAAGCCAAACGTCTCTGCTCCCTTTCCTTCCTACTTCGATGCAGGGACCAAGGGACGGTCCCGCATTTCCTGCAGTTTCACCACATTCTTTAGACTACACAGCGCAACAACCCAGAAGACGGATATCTTCATACTCACCGCTGTGAGAACCTCAAGTCTTACAATATAATACATGTACACAATACCTACAATCCTTCCTTTTAATTTGCATTTGATCCATTCTCTTAATATCTTTCACATAAAGTGAGGGAAGTAAAATTATCACTAGTGCTAAACAAAGCACCGTCTTGCAGATATATAGGGGAATGGAGGTATAGCTCCACACATCATTAACCTTAGATTAGACAGAAGTAAATAAATTAAATAAAATGTAGGGTAATCCACTTCCTTGCACAAGCGTAAAAGTTGTGACAAAACTGTAACAACAATAAAACAAAAGTACATACCCTATCAGGAAGAGGACATTCTATGATTTTATCCAATCTGCCAGGCCGTAACAGAGCTGGGTCAATGAGATCTGGTCTACTAGTGGCAGCTACAACATAGACTCCATGCAGAGACTCAACGCCATCCAGCTGTGTCAGTAACTGGTTCACTACACGATCTGTCACTCCAGTACTATCATGGCCCCTCCTACATTTACACAAAAAAAGATCTGTCATACTGATTAAATGATCAATGTTATACTAATATTTCTTGAAAAATAATCAAAGTAATTAGGCAATGTTTTAAAATATGCACTATACTGTTACCAATTATTGAAAATAATATGTCACAAATCTTGTAAATTATCAATATTACCATTTCATAAAAGGCTACAGAGAATTTGGGAACAACCTGAAGATGTCTATTTGTGTTGTTCCATAATCATTGCTTTTATTATGCACATTTTCAACTCCAGATCTGTTGTTATCGAACGGGTTTAAAGGACTGACGTAAGTGGTATTGCATTCCTGAAAGTACGCACATAACGAAGATGTTATAAGATACAGTAAAACCCCTCAAGTTGGACACCCCTATATCCTGGACAACCCTCTATATTGGACACTTTTAATTGGAACCGGCGAATATCCTATAATTTTACATGTCCACAATACCGTACATCTTGGACACCCCTTTTCTTGTAAGTTCGACAGGTTCATGCACTTAACTTCAATGCTTTTCAGGGAAACTTTTTCAGTTACATATTTTGTTATTTTGAATTTCTCACTGATGAATGCCTCCTCTCTGGAGGATTATCTTATGGACATTGAACCCATCACTGGAACGCATTGCAAGTGTTTAACTATTCTTTTGCTGAACCCTTTACTGGACTACAGTATTGCAGAAGACACAGTTTTAACTCCGTCAGTACTGTGCTTGCATTTGAGTTCAGACTGTGTTAACAGAAATGGAATTTTTCTTTTTGCGATGGGGAAGCGAAAATTGGTGGAATAAACTTTAGAAAATGTTATTGAGGCTAGGGTGTAATGTGCAATGCATGGGAGTGGGCTTCAAAAGATTATTATTAATACTATTGTCGTTAATTCTTAATTCAAGTGAGCCTACAGCAGTTAGTGTATGTAAGTAAATAGATTATATTGTCATTAGACCACAATCTGATATTTCTCTATCCCTCTATCTTGGACACCTCTGTAAGTTGGACACATTTTCATGGAACCACAAGTGTCAAACTTAGAGAGGTTTTACTGAATCTTCCAAGTGGTTAGAGTCACTCATAAATGATATCAATGTTAAAACAACTTATTCCAGATATACTGTAATGCCATTTTCAACTTTGTATGAACTTTCAATCCACAAACACAAGACAGAACTTCCAGTACAGAAAATGTAGTGGCAGATCTCTAGTGTCTTTATACCAAAATTCATTCCTCCACAGTTAGTAGCTTAGGAACAATGCTAAATCTCACATGACATCAAGTTTCCTGGTGTAAAATAACAACAATATTGGAAGGGCATACTCTTTGGAGTACAGTGACATTTCAAAAGGCATTCTTCATATCATATCACATGGGTCATTGTTACATGGTGATCTACAGCCACTGCTGTGTAACATGTTGCCCAGCAATGACCTTCAGTCGTTCTTGCACTAATGATGCAATCAAGATGGTGGACACACAGGGATATTCAGGCCTGATGACCAAGGCAGAGGAGAGGTTGCCCGTGGAGCAAAGCAAAGTCCCAGGGTGCAAAACCCCTTAGGAACAGTCCAGATGATCCTGAGGCCTTGACGATCTAATCTGAAATGGCAAGAGGCCCAGGGGTATCCAAAACAGTGATGGCAAGGCCGAGGTAATGTCACTAAGGGCAAAGAGAGGCCCAGGGGTATCCAAAACAGTGACGGCAAGGCCGAGGCAATGTCACTAAGGGCAAAATACCAAAGTGTAGCAGCCCCAAGGGGCAAATGCCTGCGGTGACTAGTGAAGGTCCAATCCATCATGGTCAAAGCCCTGTACGGGCAGAAAATGGACTTTCAAAGTCCTGGTGGGCTAAGCACAAAACAGAATGAACAGAGGGCAGAGGTCTAGGAGCAGGATCTGCAGGAGGGGGTGACAAGACCCCAAAAAAGCAAGCATCCTGGATAAGGACAGCCTAGTCCCATGGGGAAAAGTCCTTCAGGGACAGTCCCAGATTTCCTGAGGCCTTGACGATCTGCTCTGTACCATAGCATCATCAACAGGATGGGTGTCAAACCTAACAAACACAATGTAATGAAAAGCAATGACAGTAGGAACAAAAATAATAAGAACAATGACAATGGGACTGTAACAACTGGATCCCATTGTTTCAATGACCCCACACAATTACCTCGTCATGCAAGTTGCCTAACTCCTAGCAAAACCATCACTGACTGACAGACAGATAGGCATAGGCCTATAAAGTGTTCTTCACAATATAACACCTAAAATCAGACATTTTACAAACAGCTGCAGTTTGCAACCAATTGCATGAGCATAAGAGACCTACTGATTAACACTTCTCATAACATGAAACTTCGGGTGGAACCAGAAAACATAAATAAGTTGAAAGAAACATTTATTTAAGAGGATTTTTTCAAGTGGCAGATATTGTACATGGAAACAAAACTTATACACAACAACCTGTAAAACATATTTACACTGAGGCTTGGTAAATATAATAAAGCTGAAGCTAACCTTGGTGCAAGACTGTCAAACTCATCAAAGAAGAGGACACATGGCTTGGCACTCTGAGATCTGAAACAATAAGGATTAAACCATTATAAGAAATTTCACCATTTAATCTATACACCTGGTAACATAAGTATTGTGAAAGAAGAAGGCAAAGCTACTGATGGATCAAAACGATGTAAGTGACAGTCTGTCCCTTGATATAGCACAGTAATCCCTCATGAACCATGGGAATTACATTCCAGAAAAACAGTGCAGTTGACAAAAACAAGGTCAGATTTTCAAACCTTCGACTTATGGATGGGAATTACCATGAAAGTCTAACTAAATTTCCTATTTGTCCACTACAGAAAACATACAAGATAACATTAAAAATAAAATATAAAAACAAGTCTTAACATACTGCAATAGTAACCTGGAAGCAAGAAAACTGGTTTCACATGCCATTACAGTCACACCCCTAGTAAATGTGAATATTTTCCATATGTATACAAATGTGAAACTAGACACATCAAACTAAACCCCATGGATAGAACGAAATTGTTGTACCCTCTTTTCTAAAAATAAGTTCAGTAATGATCACTTTTTTTAGACTGAATAAAATAAGAAAATGCCTTTAAAAATTATAAAAATACAGCACTTACATGTAACACTGTTCTATGCATGTATTTTCACTGCATCCTTAGCTTATTTAATTACAATGCTTCAACTGCAGGTATTTATCATTGTATGATATGGTAAAATAATAATGAATAGCATAAAGGGATGGTCATAACATACTTCATTGTACTAATTCAGCATTCATTTGTGAATCCTGAGGTAAATAATAACAATTTTGATCAAGACAAACAGTAAGACAACCAAGATTTAAGCCAGGTACCCAGCAAATAAAAGTCTATGACATTACCATAACACCAACCTTCTCAGCTACTTTTACGCTATACTAACCTTCATTTGAAAACTTATCAATGCTACAAACACATCCTCCTCAATCCTGCCCTTACATACATACAGTTTTCATAATTTTTTAAATTACTGTCAACAACGAACATGCTTTGCTTTATCAACTGAAATAAATCATGCCAAAGATAGAGGAAGTAGTAAGTAGCATGCTTGTGCCTTGATTCAATTAAACATGGGATTAATTGTACAGTGATTTTGATCTGGTTGGAAATAACTAGTCATAGTGACAGCCAGCAGTTAGAATTAATGACAGTATTAATGGGAATATTTTGATTATTACCAGAAGACTGCTTGTTTACAAACAACATGCTGCAAAGAATCAGTAATAGTGATAATAAGTTGGTAATAATGCAAAGACTTTAAAAAACAGTTGCAGACCCCAAAGGTACAGAAATTGAAGAATTCCTTGAAAGACTAGTTGCCAGCCAAAAAAATTAAAGAAAAACAAAAATTAATTACATGTAAATTAATACATTTTAAACGTCTTAGTTAGAGATTGCCGCAGTTCTAAGGACAAAATGTTCAAGTACCCGGATACAAAGAAATTTTCCATCTCTGGTAGTACAAATTCATTTGATGGTCTTACTTTTGAAATATATTTCTTACTGCCTCTTCACTTGCACCAATATATTTTGACAGCAGCTCTGGACCCTACAAACAGATTACATTATATTGCATTATGTTACATAATTACACTATTATAACAAAGCACAAAGAGAAGAAGAAACCTCTTAATCCACGTGGTGTTTACAAAATGTCTTTATGCCAGTTGTAATGTTTTACTGTTCATTACAGGTGTAAGACAAACACTTAACTACAAACATGAGACAAGAATCACACATACACACAAAAAACAAAATGTATAATGACAGGCTACTCCTCAATATCTTCTTCTTTCGTAATCAATCCTAGGATTGGTTGGCAGCAGCTCTTGAGCTGCTGATACTTGGGAAATCCCGAGGATCTTTAATGCGGTGGATTCCCCTTTCCTTCCGCATCCTATGCCGTTGACCCATCCGGGTTCATCCGCCTTTAGGGGTGATTTCTCACCCCAAGGGCATGAGGGTGCCCTGAACCTCCACCCTCCGAAGCACTTGGTAGAGGGGGACCACTTACACCGGTGGTCACTCGGTCTGTGGACGCAGTTTAACGTCATGCCCGGGACAGACTCCTCAATATAGCAAACCTTAAACTACCTACGAACATTAACTAAAAGGAAATAATTATACAGATTACTGATTTCTCACATCTGCTTACTTTCTACATCATAGGCATTCAAAAGAAAACTAATTTATAAGAAAGTACAACTTCCACATGATGGATGCTCATGATGTAAAGCTGCTCCACACAGGCTGTCTGCCTCTAGACACCTGGTTAATCTCAAAGCACAGGAAGATGATAATTAATCAGATATGAATATAAATATCTCAGGGCATACTGCCCCAGGTGTCTAGGTTTGTGCCTTGTTACATCAAGTTGTTGAGCTACAAGATAAATCTGGGACACCTTCATTGGTAAATTAGCTAGTATGGTTTAGGAATTAAGATTACCTGTGGTGATCTGCTGCAAAAGTAAGAGAGAAAACATTGACACTGACACACTGTTGGAATGGTCCACTGTACAAAATGTATATCAAATCTAAAACTTCTTGACGATGGTGAAGAGTCAATTGAATAAAATTTTTGGATATTATCCATCGTCTAGTAAATATAAAACGTAAAACGACGTTTCGGAGATGGGACTCTATCTCCGGAGATAGGGATTAGCTCTATCTAGTGGGCCCAACTGTGTAGGAACCTGAAGACGGAGATAGAGTCCCATCTCCGAAACGTCGTTTTACGTTTTATATTTACTAGACGATGGATAATATCCAAAAATTTTATTCAATTGTACAAAATGTGATTAACATAATACAACTGATTCTTTGTTGCCACATTCAAAAGTTCAGCACTACTAACATAAAAACTCCCATTTCTTCAAGATCCATCCCACCCCATCTCTGCCTTAGTCTTCAAAGTTGTTGCTTTTAAAGCTTTCGCCACTAACATTCTGGAAAAAACTGTCTCATTTCCACAAAGTTACTATTCAAATAGCAAGAGTATAAACTACAAATTTCCTTGTTAAGGAATGTTCTCTATTTCCCATTTTATTCATTCTCAACATTCCAAATATTTTCCCCATAATTTGGGTTTCAAGTCTGTAGAAATAACATAATTTGCAAATTTTATAAAATATATTAATTTCAGTACAGGCATAAATAAAAAATGAAAGGAATTCTGTTACCAAGGCCTACAAATGTAAATATTAAACTACAAAGCTAAAACACCCTGCACAACTTCCTTCTGATTTTGTGATATTCTATCACTTTCAACATATTTTAATCCACCATGTTACATTTGATACCTTCTAGGTCAGAATGGACTGTCACTGTATGCAATGTCCCTCTGTCTGCATATGTATGAACAATACCTACATACCTAGCCTTCTAGTAGCATCTGTGAATCTATTATACTACTTAAAAAATAACAGTCTTGAACTAAAGAAAGCCATCACAGAGCACCTTAATGCTGATAAATTTGAGGCCACATTCCTTTGCCACTGCACCAGCAAGGAGGGTTTTCCCAGTACCTGGGGCTCCATACAACAGCACACCTGACTGAATACGCAGTGGAGCATTCTCAAATATTTCAGGATACTGAAACCAAAGAACACAATATCAATAAAAACATTCAGTCATAAAGTTTGGAATCAAAGCCCCCATCTAGCAAAACTCACAGGACCCAAAAATTTAAAATTTGTAATATGTAAGTTCTTTACATAACAGTTCATCCTACTGTAAATCAATCAAAAAGGTTTTCTCTGTTCCTAGATGGTCAAAGTTCCTAAGAGGACAATAAGACACTCACAGAAGTTTTATTGTAACTTAATTGCTAGATATTACAATTTCAAGAAAATATAACCCATAAATAAGGAAGTTGACTGCATTGACCTACCTTTGTATATATATATATATACATAGTCTTTTGTTTGAAAGAAGATGAACAGACCATCAGAAAAGAGTAAAATACAAGAAGGAGAGGACATATAGCACACTGTATCTCTAGCTTATTAAATTAGTAGTTTCTATATAAGTATAGTAAACTTTTAGATGTTCTGTAAGTTTGTGTGTTATATAAAGTTCTAAACAAGCACTTTTTAAAACATTTAACAAAGTTTGATTTGAACATTAAGTACACTATATAAATGCTCTAACTATTGAAATTTCTGCTCGTATTATTGCATTAACATTAAGATTCATACCTATAATGGTATCTGGTAAATAAGTTAATATCAGTAGCTCACACTATACAGCATCAAACAATAGAAGATTCACAAATGGTGAATTGGAAGGAAGAGGTCATGGCCTAATGTAAGGTGCTATCCCAGCACTTGTCTACAAGGACTGAGGGAAACAAAAAACTAAATTCCGGACAGCCAGCCTCTGGGCTGACACTTTAACTCAGGACTTCCCAAATATGCAACAGGAGTGATAATCACTCTTGCACAACATAATATTCAGTGCAAGCAGCAACATGATGACGATGACGATAAGTCAATACTACACCATGTTTCACACAAACACAAAACAACAGCTAAAATTACACTTTTGAACATTTTTATCTTTATGTTTTTAGGTATCAGATAGGAAGACAAAATATTCTGGTAGCAAGCATTCATTCCCTAAATTTAGTCTTCATAAATCCAATTCTAATTTGATAACACCATTCACAAATATTTTTACTCTTCCGTATTGTCAAATGATTCATTAACAACCTTCACATGACTGTCCTGCAGTCTGGTGATGAGACATAAACGTGTACTTGTTTTCCCCAGGTTTACTTCTAAACCAACTTTCTTGACCAGAACCTGATGTGACCCATTCAGTTTCATTCCCTCTTTGATTTCTTGGACCTTCTAAAGCAAAGCTAAAGAGCAATGGTAATAAAACACTGCCTTGGTTCAAACCATTATGAATAGAACATGCATCCAACAAATGTTTATACAGACTTTACTATAGGTTTCATTTAAACACATTTTTACTATCTTAAAAGGTTTACATTTCAATTTGCCTGATATAATATAATCAGAGCAAAATATTCAACCCAAGTTAATTCTGGACAAAAGGGAAGTAGTTAATACAAGAAGTAACATATCTGAGTAAAATCACCAAGACATTTCAAAATATAACAATAATTTTAGTCTCAAAACTGCAATCTTAAAAAAACAAACTTGATAAGTTCATATTTACTTGTGAAGGCCACTGCAAAACTTCAATAAGGATCTTCTTTACTTCTGCCAATCCTCCAATATCATCCCAAGAGTGGACACTACCATGAAAGAGTTCTAGTCCTCGTTGTAATAAAGGTACGCTCTTATTCAAGGCTTCTTCAAAGTCATTATTGTCTAGTTGCAGAGTCAAAGCACGTTCACATTCTTGAGTAGACACTGTAACAGATAAGTGCAATATTATACTGACACTGATAGTGAATAAAGGCAGGTGCTCAGAAGCATTAACAAGGTCATTCACATAAAACACCTGATTTATATCAGGAGCTTTATCAAGTAGGAGTAACACTACAAAATACTACAAGAAAAATGTTTAATTCAATTAATTTTCTTCCAAAATTTGTTTAATATTACAAATAATAATAATGAAGACAACTACAAAACTGCAGCAGGCATGAGCATGATCTACAAAGAGGGGTGCTTACAAGTTTAAAAATTCAGCATGGTGAAAAAATCAGTTATTTGGTGACCAATGGCTAGTACAAGAGCTAAAGAAACTGGGAACTGTATTCCCACTAAGAATATGTCTACAATAATCTTATCATTGCACAATACAAACCAACACCCTGTTCATTTAACTACAGCAAAAAATTTAAAACAAAACCAAAATAACTGCATACATTATTGAATAAAAAATTATTATTCATATCGCATTAAAACAAATAACTCTTCCCATGCTACTAAAGATTCCACCTCACAAAACAGAACCATTCTTTGTTTGCAGCTCAAAACAGAGTAAACCCTCTTTTAATGGACCTCAATTTAACAGATTTTTTGATTTAACACACATCATATGGTATTGTCAAAATTGTTCTGGACATGAGGCATTAGCAGACATTTTTGGTTTTACCGAACTTTGCCCATTAAAACCAAAAATGTCCACTAATGACCACTGGACTCTTTTGTTGGGTTTAGTTATCTCTTTACATTGTAGTTTCTTAATAAACCCTGTGTCATTGTAGGTGTCCAGTTCATATTACTAATCTGCTTGATGGTGTTCCTAATGGATATTATAGTCAAAGGATAAAGACTATAAAATGTCAAATTATGACCTACGAATAATGAATAGAAAAGGATATGGAAGTCCTGATTTGAAGTACTAACCGGTCATTTGCATGAAGGGACTGAGGAAAATCACAACTCTCAGGATAACCAAACTCTAGGCTCAGATTTCAAATCAAGACCACCAAAATATGAAGGAGTGCTAACCACTTGGCCATGATGTTCAGTGTATACAGTGAAACCTCTATCCATCGTTCCCGGAACTATCGTTTTCCCGGATGCATCGTCCGTTTTGTTCGGTCCCGAATACATCCCATATAAAATAATGTTACATTTTCCCGCTTCTATCGTTTTTATTTCCCACCCCCGCCGAAAACGATGCATCGAGGTTTCACTGTGTATTCATAAACACATATCCATACACAGTCAGACTCTGTATCCAGCATCCCAAAATCCAGAAGGACCTAAAGTCTATATTTGTTCCTAGTCACTTTTTAAGGTGGCATATTGCTACACTTGTCATGTTTAAAACTAGTGCTTTGTGGTTCTTCAACTAATCAACATGTGCAAGCAGCACCTCCATCAATAGTCTTTTTAACACTAGTCGAGGGTAGTTTCCTTGTATGTACTTGCTTTGTCAGTGGGCGGCACAAGTTGTGGGCTTCTGCACATTTTTTATTATTTATTTTATCTGTATTAAAATTCCTCTGCATAAGGATCCAGAACTCAGAAAATCATTACATCAGAAAAGCCTTAGGTCCCAGGATTTATGGACAATGGATGCTATGTAAATACATATTAATATAGTTTAGGCTTATCATAACAGTCATGGTCGTCTTCTTCCAAAGGCATTTCCACTTTATGCGGGTCAAATGTTTATATATTTTAATTTTAAATGTAAGGACGTTGTACTGAAATGTGAGAGGAAAAATGTTGTACAAGTCTAAATGTTATCAACAGGATGATTACTAGCTAGTGCACAGCCTAATGACATAACTAACAAGGAAGAATTTAAGGGAAACTCCATATCTTTACATAATTTCCAAGGGTACATCCTTCCTAAATTTATTACATAATTTTCACCACACAGCACACATTCATACAATGCCATGTGTCATATATGAAATAGTCTAAATAATTAAATCATTACAGTTCTGCAATTGTGTAGTTATTTTTATACTTAATTAGTTATATCAATGAAATATTATTATAGAACTGTATCTATTGCACAAATGACCATTTACAAATTAGTCAAAAAGGTCAGACAAAATTTGTTCATTCATAAGTGATATCCTCAGAGGAATCAATCTATTACAGCAACTTCATTACAGCATCACTGATACATGTTACATAGGTCACTAAAGCATGGAATACCCTCAGGCTGCAGGTGCAGAAGGCCTCCAGATATGGAAGGTAGCTGTGCAAATACTGAATAAGCAGTCACATATGACAAGACATATTTGAGTGTTGGATAGGAGGCAAAAATTTCTCATCATAAAAACATCAGCATGTCACAAAATGTTACAGAATGTCTTAACCAGCTAAACAACTATCATCTTCTCAAAAACTATGTTCCACTGAGTTACTTAATTAGATACCTGTTCTCTTGTAAGATTCAAAAATGGCCTTGTCAGCTAGATCCACCAAGTCCTGTACAACATAGCCTTCTGATCTGCAAGTTATTGAGCTCCAGTCCAGTGGAACAGCACCATTAGCAGTCACATTACTCCGTTGTGAAATTATGTTATTCAAAATGTCTGCCCTGTCACCCTGCAAGCATATAAATACAAATTTGTAAAGAACTACAACAATAATTCTGATAATTTATTTCTTATGCACTATTACAATACAAACAATACGTTCTGGAAAGAACTTTCTTCAAATACTTCAATTTATACGGCAAGACTATATAAATTAATAATTATACAAAATAGTGATTCATTTCTGCACATACTTTCTTCTAGTGCAGATTCCAACCATTTGAAATTTGTCTGAATTTTGTTGTATCTGTATTTGTTATTGTAAATCTATAAAATGTGTTTCATAGACAATTTGTGATCTATCTTAGCACAAAATTTCACATGAATAGCAAACCCGGTTCATTATATTACAATCAAACCAAATGCCAAGTACAGATTTTGCACACCTGACATATTATTTCACACAGAAATTCAAAGGCACAACAATGTAATGGCCTCTAGTGGCATGATTTTCATTCCAAGTCTGAATAAAATCCATCAATTGGTTCACATTTATTAGGGAGGACAGATATGTGGAACAACATACTGACATGGTAACACCATAAATCTGTCCTTCCTTTCACAGTACAGAAAAAAGCCTCAAACCAATTTAAACTTGTTATTTTTATTCTAATATTATGTTAAAATGAGAACATGTTGACAAGTGCAACAATCTCATTTCTTCATGCTGGGCAAAATTCACATGAGCTCTGATAAATAGAGATTGGCATTAAATAAAATAATATAATAATTGACCTTATTCAACTCTGGAATTTCCAACACAGTTTTGAAGATGTGTTGACCACGTGGCACTAACAAGGAGGAGTTTATTTTCAAAACAGATGGGGCTGTAGCTATGACTGATACAGAATTTGAGAACTGGAACTCTTCTAGAAGTTCACTTAGCTTTTCACCAACTCTGCAATGTAACAAAATGAGAATTGAACAAAGGAGCTGGAAAATAAAGTTCATGCAATCATGTGATTTATTTGCCATAACAAATAAAGGAAAGCTTCCTGCAAAATTTGCAGACTTGTTTATAACCTCCAATTTTGTGTGTCCAGCTGCAATAATCATCAAACCAAAAGCAAATATATATAGCACCCTAGAAAGAACTTTGGTGTTTAAAGAACATTCTAATTGACCCAAAGGAAATAGAACATCACAGACAGCAACACTGAATGTTTAAGCACACAAAGTATTGTCATGCCAAGCAATGCAATGCAGTGTGCATTCACGGAACAACACCATTGCAGTAAGCTGTCACAGGCGCAGAATTTGGAGTTTAAAAAACTGTCACATCACCATGATAATTCAAAGTTGAATGTGTGGTGTGGACTCATGTGTATCATAATAATTTCCCCCCCCCCCCAACACCATGGGGCAGAATACCTGAGAAGCTAGCAGCTAGTCAAGAAATTCCTGCATTTTATGGAACCTGGTGGTTCATTACCATGTTAACAAGAGCATTGGTCCTTAACTTGAGATATATAAATTCCATCCTTACCCAAAGACCCATTTTAATATTTCCACCCACCTATGTCTGCCTGGGTCTTCAAAGTTGTGTCATCTCTTCAGTTTCTCCAATTAAAATTTTGTGTGCTCTTCTCATCTCCAAACATACAAGCTACATGCCCTGCCCATGTCACAATCCTTGGTTTCATCACCCTGATATCTGGTGAAGTAGAATTAAATTCAGTCCTAACAAGAATAAAAAATCATAAAGCCCCTGGAGAAGATGGATTGAATGGAGATATCTTTAAATATGCTGGAAAATTATTTACTACCTAATTTCTCAAACTTATAAACAATATATGGAACTATAGTATGTCCTCAAAATGTTGGCAAAAAGCAGTCATGGTACCACTCCATAAAAAAGGTAATATAAAAAGTCATGGACACTATAGAGGAATTAGTTCCCTGAATGCTGGTTATAAAATTTACACAAGTATTACAAAGAATAAACTAACAAAATTCTATCAAAGTCTGATTGGGGAAGAGCACAATGGATTTTGCAAAGAGTGATCATACTGTGGCGGCTAAATTTCACTAAAACTTATTGAAAAACACAGAGTTCAATAATGAAACTTGCTTGTCCTTTATAGACTTTAAAAAAGCATTTGACAAAGTTAACAGGAACAAACTAATGGACACACCAACTTACTTCCCAAGGGATTCATTTGCCCTGCAAACCTGTCCCATTTTCAGATACAACAGCAAGGACCTATGAAACATTGGTAAACTTCTACCCAGACTACATGGCACTACAACCCAGAAGATAACCATCTTCAGACTCACCACCATGAGAAACTAAAATCCTACTTCATGTCTTAACCTGACCTAACATAACCTGCTCCAACAAAAACAATATTAACATACACAAACATTTCAGCAAATTCCCACATACAAACCGCAATTATCACAGTAACCACAGCAAACATTCATAGAACACATAACAATAATTGCCAATGGTAATCACTACAAATAAATACATTTAAACCTTGAAATTTTCACTTTCACCACCAGGATGCAGCACCTCAATGTCAACCTCAGGAATTTCTTCATTCCTCTATCATTTTATTATCACTCACAGGATATTTCATTAATCTGACCATTGTATCTCAAGTAGAATTAACTGGACAGACTAGAACAGACCACAATGCATTCCCCTATGCACTTCATGCAAAGAATGCATAACAAATGGTAGAATTACAGTTCTGTATATTTTAATGTTTATGTTTTCATACAGCAGACAGGAAGACAAAAAATCCAAATTGAACGGCACCAATCATTCCCCACAATTAGTCTGTTCTTAATTCCTTAATGAATGGTGTTTTGATTTAACATCATTCAAAAATGTTAACTTTGCCACATTTTCAAATAATTTATTAGCTTCCTTTATATAATAATACTGTCCTGTAGTCTGGTGACAAGACATTAAAATGCACTTAGTTTTCTCTGCGTTAATTGCTACACAACCTTCCTTACTAGCATCTAACATAGCTTCAGTGTTTCACTTTATATTTGTTTTCAACCAGTATATTAATACCATCAACATAGACCACAAGTTGTGTCCCATTAATTTCCAATCCCTCTTTGTTTTCTTGTTCTTTCCTGATGGCATATTCTAAACTTTAGAATATGCCATCAGGAAAGAAAGAATCTAAAGCAAAACTGAAAAGCAAAAGAGATAAAGCATAACAGAAAAAGCATCAGATAAATGTTTACATATATGGATTTTACTATAGATTTCATTTAAACATGTTTTATTTAGCCTAACTAGTAGCATTACTAAAACTGAATTCAATGTTATACAATACTTCCCTCCTAACTGAATCACAGGCTACTGTGAAGACCACACATAGCTGGTGTACAGTCTCCAATTATATTCCCATTTTCTCTTCAGTACCTGAAGGATGCAGATTGATCAATTATGTCAAAATCCGGACTAAGTACTTTTGTCTACATATGACAATGTTGACAGAAGAATGCTGCATAAAATTTGTATATATAGGTGGTAGCAGCAATATTCCTCAACAATAACTAATCAGTTTTGCAACCCTTCACATCATAGCTACAGTAATTGAATTCTTCTACTTCTCCGGCAATTCTTCCTTATTCCAAATACAGTTAATAAGCTTGTGGATCTCAGAACATAATGTATTGCCGCTTGCCTCAATCAGTTCTGCCAGAACTTGATCAGCGCCTGATATTTATAACTTTTCAACAGAAATCTGAACCTCAGGTACTAATGACCCAACTGTATGTACTTCAGTCTGCCTCACATCATTATCCCCATGCACAGCTGGCAAAAGTAATTCTTCCACCTATTCAAAATATTTTGTGGGAATCTGCAAGCTGATAATTTTTCATGTTTTACCATTGCTTCTAGGTTGGTCATCATCTATCAAATCTGAGGTTTTCATGGCAGTGAAAATTCTGAATATGGTCTTTTGGTTTATGATGCCATTTAAGTTGTTACCAGTGTTGTAAGGATCCCATTGACTACATCTTCAATTAAAACCTTTACACTGATGATGGAGATGACAGATTACTTTGAAACATAGATAACAATCTGCAAAACTACAAGGTATCTTACAACCCAGATGACCACAGATGAAACGGGCATTATGGTAAAGGAAACTGGACTGAATATAATATTACCTAGTGTAGTAGTTACTTTCTTCAGACATTAATTGTCCTGGAGCTGAACTTCCTGTACCAGCAATTGAATCCAGGTCATCTAACATGAGAATTGCTGGATGGCAGTAAGTGCATTCACACAACCACTGAGACATAAGCTTCTGTAATGTTTCCATTTTCTTACCTGGCAGGAATTATAAAGGTTATAAATAAAATGTTGTTCTGTGTAAGATTTGAGGTTTTCACAGCGGTGAGTATGAAGATTCTGTCTTCTGGGTTGTTGCGCTGTGTAGTCTGGTCGATGGTTACCAACGTTTCAGAGGTCATACTGCCTCTGTCATCAGAGTGATGAATATTCAACACCCTGATGACGGACTACACAGCGCAATAACCCAGAAGACAGAAAGCTTCAAAATGTTGTTCTGCTTTAACATCTTTTGCATTTAATTTCATGATCACTATATCAATGATGTCATTAACCACAAACGTTTTTAGTTTTCAACTCACTAACACAACACAAACATCAGATTGTATTTCACTGTCATGTTGTGGATCCAAAAGACTTCAATATTGATTCTCAGGCTTCACACAACAATTTACAATAAATAACTTTCCCCTTAAGTGTGTTATTTATTTCATGAGATAAATGATGAACCCAAGGGAAAAGTTACCTATTGTAAACTGTTGTGAGAAGACTGAGAATCAATACTGAAGTTTAACAAACATATAAGATTTGAAGGATCCCACAGCAGTGAAGATGTCAATGTTGGTCTTATAGGGTATAATGCCATGTTAACTTGTATTCAGATGCCAACATTTCAGAGAAACAAACAAATTCTTTGTGAAATAACATATTATTGACTTAGATAAATGACAAGAAACCAGCTTCATGAAACTTCAAACCTATCATAATAATATATTATCCTGCTATTTGAAAAAATAAACTTAAACTCCAAGTTACTTACAATATGTTCACCAGGCGATATCTTGATGCCCTTTTTCTTATTAATCATTTTAAAAGTAAGCGTATAAGGATAATTTTCTCAGTGAGATTTTTATTACAAACAATACACACATTTCTTCTTGTCATGAATTATCATTATGTAATAAGCAAAACAATAACAATAAACATTCAATGTGCAGTAACTAAATATAATTTTAATTTGTTTATCATATTATCCATTGTCTTGTAAGGTTGAGAAAAACATGGTCTCTTACCTTGGATGAAGAATGTAAATTACAAGTGTTTGAAAACAAGGTGTTCAGGAAGATATCTGGACCTAGGTCACAACAGATCTATCTAAACAAAACATGCAACATACCTTTCAAGTGTTTACACTGTATTTCAATAGAATGTACAAAGTACGGAGGTTTTCCCAGTTCTTTGCATATTGTTCTGGCAAGAGTTGTTTTCCCTGAGCCAGCAGGTCCTGCAGAACAATCAACATTTATAAGATTTGTACCAATTTTCAAACTCTGAGAAAATCAAGATATAAATTATCATATATCATAATAAATAAATTTCTATGAATTGATTCACTGATGAAAGAGTACATCTTTAACAGTCAATGATCAAGCAATTGACTCACATTCCACACACAAATTTAGTATATCCATTACATATACACATGTGCTTCTTTTTCTAGCAATTACAAATTTTTAAAGTTCATGTATGTTCCCATCATGCAAGTATAATAACTGTATGTGTGAATGGATTAATACATGAATGCTTACAAACAGTTACAACTTCACAATTATATTTCAGTAACTTACTCCATGAAACTGAGTCCCTCTTGAGAAGCCAATATTCACTCAGCTGGTCAATGTCTCATCTTAAGAACCAAAAGATTCACAACAGACCAGCGCTGGTACCTATCATGATCCAGTTGATTCCAACACACACCCCTCATACTGTTTCTTTAAGATTCACCTTAATATCATCTTCCCATTTATTACTAGGTCTCTATTCATATTTTTCAAACCATAACTGTTATGTGTTTATTATCTTCCCATACATTCCATATACCCTGCCCATCTCATATTCTGATTTGACTGCACCAATAATAAATGGTGATGTATTTAGAAGCAAAATTTTCTTTGTTATACTTTAATTAATTCTGTAAGAAATGCTGATATACACTGTGGATAAGTAAAGTGTACTCACTTGTCTGTGGTGCATAAAAAACCTTTATAAACTGGAACACTGAGCAAAACAGAAAATTTTCTTGGTCCTGTGGCATTCCATTTTGAACAGGTCACTATTACTCTCAGCCTAAAAATGAAAGCTTCCAAGGCTTATGATGGTAACCTTTTGCTAGCTTCCTCTTACCTATTTCACACTGGGCACTCTCGTTTAGTTACATCTGTTAAATCATCTTACATTATCACATATTAATACGTCAGTGAACGACATTCAAATTCCCCAGGTATTTTACATTGCCACCTCAGCATATACAATACGCTGTCTTAAAGAAATTCTAACAAAAATCTTCTATAATGTAATAATTACACTGTTACAGTAATAAAATCTTAGGACTTACCAACAATAAGGATATTATCTGATGTCAAGTTTGTCCTGAATGGTAAAAGTTTTGTAACAAGAGGTGTAAGATGCAAACTCATTTCCAAGGTTGTTATTCCTTCAGATACAAGTTTCTGGAAGTTGTTACTAAATAAGGGACATAAAATAACACTAAAATAATTACAAAATAGATTGATTGCATCAACTAGATGTAAAATGTATTAAACTGGCAGTAATATAACTACAGCTTAATACAGAAATATTCAGAAACTCCTATTTTAACAAAAAGATTTATATGACTTTCATGATAGTCAAACACACAGAATCTCACACTAAACTTATTCTCTGTTTAGCTGTCTCACTGAAATTTTCATGAACTCTTTCACCATTTAAGAAACAAGCATTTTTATGTTTTAAAATATTAAAATGTGAAGCACGCATAGGTAAATCCAAAACTGTGTAACATTTTTAAGGCAACAAAGTTATAAAATTTTAAAAGAAAACATCCTGTACATTCCTTCCTCATTCACAAATTAATAGAAGCAGTATGAGGGTATACAAGAATCTACACTTGAAGAGATGTTTCATTTCTCAGAGTAAACTGAATTGATACATGCCTCATATTATCACTTACAACAGAAATATATACTAACCCAAATTGAACACTGTGGGCATCATTATTACCCAACTCTTTATCAGCACTTGGATATATCAAATGTGAAGTGTTTTCCTTCACTCTGAACTTGCACTTTCTGACAATGTCTGGATACAGAATAACATATTCTACCCCAGCAGGTAACAGGCTGACTAAGACATGGGTTGTACTAGATGAAGTTGCTTGTAGAGGCAGAAATGATTCAGAATTGATGAGCAGACAATGTGTTTTCACTTGTTCAGCTATGTAAGACCTACATAAGGTTTCTAATTCTTTGGTACTATTTTCCTAGAAGAGACATCAGATGCATAATATGAGCAACATGTCAATAGCATAAACTGTGTTCTTTATATTAACACACCTTTTAGCTTCACCATATTCATCTGTCTATATATAATTATATCACTCTGAATAAACAAGATTTCATGCAATTTGATACTTATGAGTTATATTTTTCTGAAGATCAATAAGTAGTTTTAAGTAGTTTTAACTGGAAGGCTTTTGGTTTCACCATAAGCTGAAACAGGTCTGCAAGACAAAATCAGTTCTAGCAATTGCAAATCAAGAAATATTTCATTCATAATAAGAAGAAGCTCAAAATAGACCTCCAGAAAATACTGTACTCCTCACTGAAGATTTGTTGAGCTCTGTCCATCATCAGGATTCAACAAGTACATTAAAACAAAAATAATATTAATAAAAAATGCATACCACAAATTTAAAACAGAATCATCAGACTGCTCACAGGCTGATAGCAGCAGTTTTCACATAAGAGAAAAAATCATTGAAAATGTGTGTCAACTCGAACTTGACATTAGATCTAATGGAATAAAATTTACTGTCAAGACCACCTTAACAATGAACCCAAAGGATTAAGTCTCAAATAAATTTGAATTTGGGTTTTAATAGGTCAAATAAAATGATTTAAAATAAAGTGATTCATCAGTCACACACATACCCAATTCCCCAGTGGAGTAATTTGTATTTCAGAGAGAAGAGGCATTGCTGCACTGTCAACTACTTCCAAATTCACTCTTTCACCAATCTCCACACCCAAAACTGATCTTGTAACAGCAGACACCAATAAGCTGTCATGTCCAATTTCTTTATTTACTGTCACTTTATCCAGATATTCTTTAAAACTGTCAGAGAGGCTCATGTAAATATCCTCAATAACATACAACAGCACATGAACACTTGCAGAAACAGTTCCTAATGAAGATACCATGGAATTCTCGTGCATATGAGATTCATCATTTTTACTCCCATGTTTACTACGAGAGGCTTTAAAGCCTGAAGGGTCAGACACTCTGATCAACTTACAAGTTAATACACCTTTTCTACTATTTACATAATCAGTATCCACACTTGGCATACAACATCTTCTGACAAACACATTATAAGGATGTAATAACAAATTATCTTCACTTTTTCTTTCAAGTTTTGATGACGGAAGATGTAAAGGATGAACTCGGTAAACCACAGGAAGAGGATTGTCATTATACTTCTTCAATACAGCAATGGTCTGATGCTCTGCTTCCGTCCTGCATAGACACTTTACCAGCATATCTTCTTTGTTGGCACTACTGTCTGACATGTAGCTCCTTAAAGCATTCCAAATCACAGACACAAGAGACTGACTTGTTTTCAAATTTTCAATTTGGTCATCACATTTCTGTAGCTTTTGTCTCAAAAGATCTGTTTGCAGGTCTGTGTGTTCAACTGATGTGTTAGTCCCCGGTGGTGTAACCACTACATCTGACAAGGGCTCCAGAAGGCCAGCAGCAGAAGTTGAATCAAAACCATCTGTAAACAAGTGACATCACTAAAAGAGTCAAGAATCTGTTTAACTGCATGTAAGTTTTAATCATTGCCCTCTACACTGAAGAAGAACTCAAAATTATTATGAAGTGTTGTACTGGCTGGACCACCAAACACCACTTTTTAATGTGTATTAACTCCATCATGTAGAGATCTTCCTGAAAAGTCACTCGAATGGTAAAAAGTTCTGCTTTCATGGAACTGAACGGTATATTAGGTATATTACAGTGGTGTCACCTAGAAATTTTGCACCAGTTCTGTAGAACCTGTTAACATTTTATAAACTGCAGAAGTGGTTTAAAAAATGTAAAAGCCTAAAAGGAAAAATTAAATTAGAACAATAATATATATTATTACATTGATAAATTTAGACACATAATGAATGTGTTTTAGTGAACTGATTCTTCTACATACCAACAAATATGAATAGTGGTGGTGCGTGGGCCATGTTTCTATGGAAATTATAAGTTATCTGCAAGCAGGACTCGTCACTATAAATATTTACTGTATTATGTTCCTCTAGAAGAACAGAATTTTTCATTCTCCTTCTGAGCAGCAAATTTTTGAATTACACAATTTATTATAGACTGAAGGATGAGTGTAGGGTAGTTCATTATATTTATTCAAGTAAATACTACACATTTAAGTATGATGAAAAATAGACTGCTAGTATATTTTTTCTCACGTCCACCTGGAAAGTGGCACCACATGCAATAAGCTTAAAAACATATGACAAATCTGCATGATCATAACATCATCACTATGGCTGCATTTTGGATACAGGAAATCTTTACCATAAACGTTTTTTTACCCTCCCACAATAGATAAGCTTGCAGTCACATACAGACAGCCATCTTCTGACAGCCAAGCAGATGTAAAATTTTGAGTTCCACTCAACACTAAATCTTCCAATAATAAATTAGGTTTTTGAATTTAATGATTAATTAGAATAAATGGCTCTGTATTGAGATTGTTGTTAGAAAACATTGAGGTAACTGCAGAACTCCATGGCTCCACACCCAAAAACAAGAAACTGATCATGAGATTTCAGGTTCTCAAGTAACAAGTAGGAAGATGGCTGCCTTCTGGGATGTTGCACCATGGAAACATTTCAGAGGATTTTATTGCCTCCATCATCATCACCTGATGATAAAAGCTATAAACTCCTCTGTAACATCCATCAATATCTACCTGACTACATGGTGTAACAGCCCAGAAAACAGACATCTTGAAAAAAGTCACTTTTTGCTATTAAGAGGCCAAACAGTAGGAGGTGCAGTATTCAGACTTTGATTTTATAATATTTGCATATTTTATCTGTGTTAAACTATGTCCATCTTCAGAATGGAGAAATGCTACAGTTGTTGCTCATTCATTAACAAAAAATAATTGTTATAATAATAATAATCCTCCAGCAAGCATCCATGCATAAAAACTTAATGCACATACATTATCACTACTGCATGTTGAAGACAAAAGGATCAGTTTTTTTCTGTAGTTGATAAAGTGAATGAAACCCATCTGAATTCAACCATTCATATTTCTAACAAATTCCACAGTTTAACCACAACCAACAATTGATATGAAATAGTAAATAGATCAGGAGATAAAAAATGGATTACACACAGAAATAAAACAGAACTATACAGAGTGTCCCAGGCAGAATTGCACAGACTGAAGGAGACAATAAATCAAAACATTATAAATAACAAAATTCCATTAAAAAGTGTCATAATCAGAATAGTTATGAGTACTCAAAGTGTGTGAAATGTCAGGAAAATGAAAACTGCTCATTACTGTACATGTGGGTAAATGATTATTGTTACAGTTCTTAAATTGTAGCATACCACACATTTTGAGGAAAAAAATGTTCAGATAATCATGTGGCTGATCTAAACCTAGTATGACTGCTTGCCATCACTTGCTACAGCACATAGTATCTGCAATGCAGTATGTTGCATGTATGGTCAAGAAACTGTACACATACTTGACCAATGACCACTATATTACAGTAGTTGCTTTGTGTGTTCTCTGTAACAGTCTTACCAAGTGAATTATTCTCTTTCCCACATTTAAGATCAATGCACATAACTGCAAAACACAAAACACTGATATTGTAGAACCATCCCTTTCGTCATTAGCATTACAAGACTAAAAACTAGAGATTTAACAACAGTAAAAGTAGGTCACTTAATCAGAGGAAGAGTTAATCTAATGAAAGATTTTAAAAAGACATATGAAAACCTTTTCTTCTATATTAATCCAATCAGACACTTACAGAGCCATCACATTATTTCAAAACAAGAAATTCCACAGAAAATAATTAAAACTATTATGTTTACTTCAGTGAAGGCTGAAAGGGCCTTGAGCTTAATGAAAAACATAAGAAAAGCATTGTTAATTGCGAATCTCTCATAGTGTTATTGAAACACGCACATCACAGTGTAACTGTGAGATTTAAATCAGGTCAGCAGGGGATACTGGGATTTAAAAGCGAGTGCTTTCAAGGCTAACACTTCTGCAACCACCCTCCACATCTGGAAGTCATCACTTAGTAGCAGTGCAGTAGAGTACAGTGCAAGAAAAAAGCAGTGGGTAAAAAAGCTTTTATTGAAACTGAACACTTTAAATATTTTCTGGGATAATTTATCATGTTTAATTTAAAGCCTCTTCCATTTTGTACCCACTCTGCTAGAACAACAGATTTACACAAAACACAAGAGAAACTGGCTACTATACTATGTAGTAACTCTGTGCTACTGAATATATGGGCTGGAAACTAAGATGAACATGAATACAGCAGACTGTTCATCTCTGCAATAATTCACAATCATCGTGACAAGAACAGCTTCAAAACAGATTTATGCCATGCCAAGACACTCAAATGAACACATTTCAGTCTCTTATAAATAAAAGTTGATTTCATAAAGTGACAAGTCTGCGTTTATTATCTGAAGAATGAAACATTACAGTTCAAAATTCATCCATTACTGATCACTTCACAGCTCTGCAGAAGCCTGCACAGATAATACTGGTGTCAATTATTGTGTGTGAAAATTCATTATTAATTTCTTAGTAATTCTGATGATAACAAGAAACAAAGTAACTCTTACCAACATGCAGTGACAGATGCAGACATCTGGAGATCCATATCACAAGAATCTGCTTAGACCACACGACTCTCACTTGATCCAGCACTGATGACTGAACGAGACTGCTATTCATTTCCTAAAGCAAGAAACAGATGAGTCTAAAGGGTCCTGATAATGGTGTGCTGGAATAAGCTTGATTTTTGTTATTTTTAACTGTATCTATCATCTTCATTATCTGTCTCCATCACTGGAGGGAGACTAGGTCTGTCTCAGAGACCCACAACTCTTTAACCTTCACCTGATGATGGAGACACATCCAGTCTGTAGAACATTGTTTTCTTTAACAAATAACAAAGATGATGGACAATGTCCAAAATAACAAAGGTTGAGCTTAAAGAAACTGGTGATTTTAAAATTACAAATTTTCAACAAACATAAGAAGACAGAAATCTTCATACTCACCGCTGTGAGAACCTCAAGTCTTACATAAATATCTTGCCTTACAGAAGAAATTCAGTAGGCTCCTTACTAACCATACATTTTCATATGCCTGTCTTTTCTTACATAAACAAATATACTAAGCTGAAACTGTAATCATTCCCAGTCATGAACTTACCAAGATTTCCCAATCATCTGCTGTTACAGGAGTTACATTTACTCTGCTAACTGGAGAAATGCTGGAGCAAAGTGAAACTGTTACCTTTTCTCCATCCTTTAACCCCAGCTTCTGAGCATAAGTAGCACTTATACCAACAATATTATCATTATTATTATTATTACTGGAGCTATGAGATTCTGAGCTCCAAGAGAAATATCCACACTTCTTTGACCCATACTCCTGTTTTAGTACACATGCCTGCAGAAAATAAACAAGGAATTAAGTTTAACCTGGAGACATACAACTTTTAAAAACATTAGAAAGTTTTGTAACTGAGATGCTAGTTTTTATTTTAATGAGTTACCTTTATAACATTAATAGCACTGAAGTAACATTATAATGCAAACAGTTTCCACATCATATATTACATTAATAATAAGAACATATTACTATGGGGCTCTTTAAAAGATTGTCTTCAATAGAGTCATATGAAAAAACTATGTAATATTATAACCAAAACATGTAAAACCCATAAATCCAATTTAATTAACACACTGCTTCTGTGATCCTATCACAAAAGCAGAATGATTTTGTTGTGTACTGAAACACTACCAAAATCAGACTGTCATTCCATTACAATATTATTCTGCTACTTTAATATAATAATGTTTCCAACTAAACATATTAAAATATCAGATGTACCATACATACCAAATGATTCTCATTTGCCTCTGTACATAACATAATTTTTGTATTTGTTAATTTGCAAGTAAATAAGCTTCAGTGTACATGAGGACAAGATAGATCATCCAAATGATGGCATTCCATTACCGGTTACTATTTTACATACAAATGTATTAACAGTTTCAAAACAAATTCTTAAAGTTGAGAAAAATAACGTTAGTTCAGTTCTGACATAAACCTAATATGAATTCTGCTCTTTGAAAATATTCTGCAATTATGTTGTATTTGTACTTGTATTATCTTGGCTTGTAATTCCAAGGAACATAAGGCATTTCATACTCGAACTGATAAATATGTTAAATTTAATGAAATATAATTCACCAAGGTATAAGTATACATGTGAAGCTAAAGTTATGATTTCCAGTGTCCTACATTTTAATGGAAAGAGAAACTAGAATGTATGAGCATGTAACAAAAATTAAAACTACGTGGATGGTTACCATACTTTTAGATTACAGAAAAATGTTAATGATTACTTAACCCAATTCGCTTATAGGTTAAGATGAAGTTTGTTATACTTAGGTGATGCCTAACAAGCTGACTGCCTTTATCTCTAATAACATAAAATAAAGCACAGTATAAAAAATACAGTTTCACTCCAACTATGTAATTGCATCAGTAGGCCCGTATCTTTTGTGACACTTTGCTTGTCATTAGAAATCAAGTTCGTAACCTGGAGTTGCGATGAAATCGTAAATTTGCAATTCCAAATTAGAAACTCACCAGAGCATCTGTACCCTTAAGCTTTTCGAGCCACCTCTCTGAAAAGTGCAAGAAGCAATTATGTACTGATATATATTTAACAGAAAATGTTTCATCCCTCATTTCTTCTTTACATTCAACCTGATTCGATTTTTGGAACTACAAATTCATCTCTCCGCTCCCCTCAATCAGCTGACCGCGCTGGGGAACAGCTGATTAATAAAAATCTCATTTTTTTTAGTAGAAGTAACATTTTGCTTCTTATATAATTGATTATTTAAGACATTTATTTAAACATAAAAAAATAATATTTCACTCAAAAACTATTACTGTTTATTACGTTTCGAATTTGTCAGGGGTCCTTAACGGTTAGTCACTTTTATCGCCCTTCATTGGAAGAATGTCTTAACCAATAAGAATTCAGATATCGTTACACACGCACACACACAGGTTATTACAGCCTGGTGTTGAAATTCGAAAAAACGTTACAGTTTGTGCAAGGCATAATTCGTAGTTAGTATATTACAGGTACGGGAAAGATTGCAAAGGAAACTTGACTAAATTTCTTAACCAACTGTTGAGCTTTTACTAAATATAAAGTGAGTATCACAACACACTACATTTCATTTTTAGTTTCCATTTTCTTCGGAATCTTTAATAGAAATTTAGAAGTTGGGGCATTTAAACTGCAGGTGCTAACGGTTTTCTTGAGTGGAACGATGGCTTATCCACATGTCAGTACTGTCACATGAATTTGTTCCTTTAATATAGACTGTAATTTCAGATATGTGGGCTCAGAAAATAAACGATCATATCACTGCAGTGGTGCTGAAGAAAGGAGTTATTACCCGAAGTCAGAATGCTGCAAATGCAGGTAAAAATGAAAAAAGGAGGGAGCTATTAAAGAGAAAAGCCGAAGGTTCTCCACCTAAAGATAAGAATCTTAAACGACCCGCATTCGGAGATATTACAAATGTGAGTATTTTTTGCCTGATGTGAATATAATAGAATTGAATTGAACTTAATTTATTTTCATTCCATGAATACTTCATAGGCCCAAGCCAAGGATGTAGAACATGTAGCACAAATATAGAATTTGTTTCTAATATAAATGACATTCTTTAATTTAGTTTAATTTGGAAGCAACTGTGAAGTTGCAGAGTTTCATACCACTACAGGAATTTGAGCTTTCAGATATTTAAACAATAATTTGTGAAAAATAATTTATTCTTACTTAAAGGTCTCGTATACTTCCAGAAAATGTAGAATAAGTGTAGCTTTCTTCACTTGCATTCAAGCCTTTACTAAATTCAAATAAAGATTGATAACAGTGTGTGATCTCTCAAGTTTCAGTTTGCAATTTGTTCATGATAAAATTTAACCTGAAGTGATGCATGTCACATAACCAAACACTTTTCTTCAATAAACAAATTATAAGTAGTTTATGTGAATTATGGAAGTACTGTCTGTGAAAGTTTTTTGAAAGTGAGGAAACAATTGTAGACTAAAGGCCTAGAAATTCTTATGATAATGCTGTGTATATTGTTCACAAACTAAATTTAAATATAAAACAAATAGATAATGCTGATGAATATTGTAACACCTTACTCTGGGAAGCAGTTTTTCCTCTTTTATGCAAGTTATGTATTTGTTTTTTTTATCTGTCACACATTTTCCATTTAAACAATAAAGAAGTGTTAACATGATAAACTAACAAGCCTTTCCTCAACAGGCACATGGAAATAATGTATCACAAGATGCTAAGAAGTTGCGAAAGGAAGTTACTACATCAAAGGCAGTTCCTAAAGGCAAAGATAACGTAGCTGTAACAACTAAAAGCACTGTTTTTCAACCCATACTCAAAACACTTACAACTATTAAGAAAATGCCTGTTTCAACAAAACCCAAAGTAATAACAATACAGAAGAGTGAAGGAATTGATACAAAGTTGAGCACATATCCAGTGCTAGCAGGAGACATTAAGGAGGACATTAATGCAGTTTCTGAAACACAGCAGTACAGCTTATCACGCAACGATATCAGCGGTGATGGTTCATTGTATATATCAGCCTTAGAAGACATGTAAGTTAAAATGTGGTGCAGAATTTATATAATTACTATTAGAATTAAAATTATTTACATTCTATTGATCCTTTATAGTACAAGCCAAGGATGTGGAACAGGTCATAGTATGAATATGAACCCTTGGTACAATAAAATACTAAAACAAAATTATGACTGCATACTTATTATAGCAGTTTACATAAATATTTGCATTATTTAATATTTTTCAATTGAAGTAAATTTGTCTGTAGAGGATGAGGAGTGAGGTCAAAGATAATTTTTCTGGGTTGGCTTAAATACTTTTTTCATGATTTAAACTTTTAATGCTAACTGGAAGAGTAATAATTTGATCCCTGAGCAGTAAGCACCTTTCTGATAATTAGTGAGGTTAGCACTCAGCTGATGGAGACCATGCTTATGCCTTGTATTTATGCTATGTATGTCAGAGTTTGTTTGGAACTTCTTGCTGTTCACAGGGAAATACAGTAATGAGAGAAGGAATTTGTATTATACCTGGGATTGTTTTGGTCATGTATTGTATTGCCTCTTTCTTTGTTGGGCTCTAAAACTATTATTTACCTTTACTGGTGGAATTTCACTTACTGTGGAATATCTGCAATTTTCCAAATAGTTCTTACTTTGTTATTGTATACCTTCCTACTGGCCTACAGAGCATCAGCCCATGTTCAAGTTCATTTGAGTATGTGAGTGGGTAAATGAGCAGATTGGTTGTAGACAGTAGAGTTGAGAGAAATGCTGAAGAAGCGCTCAGTGAGAAGAAGATTATGGTAATAAATGTATCATATAAGTGTGAAAATAATGCAGAAGATAGATCATTCAAGATATGTGATTCATAACTGCAAAGAATTGTTATGAAGAACACAATTATTTACAATAAGACGGAGATTAATAATCCATATTTCAGACAAAATTATCCAGCATGTTAAACAGTGATTAATATTACAATATCATAAACATTTTTGGATGTGCGTGGATTTGTAATCATTCAATAGGAATCAAAGAAAAGCGGATAAATGATGTTTATTTATTATTTATTTGACTGCAAATGGGTTTTTACCCGGTGGCAGTGGTCCTACAATAAGACACAACAAAACATAAGACAACAAAAACAATAAGAAACAACAGAACAATGAGACAGAACAAAACAATAAGACACA